AGGCTGGTATAATACGTGCAAAAACTCTGAAGGTGAATCCACACTTGCCAAGAACTCATTTCTGATGCCACTCATCATAAAACCCATGAAAACACATAGCATTTTCTGTACACTTGCACCAATATAAACAATAGACAGTATATAACAAAAGGACGATTCCCTGAATGGAAATAAAACCACCACACTCACAGAATGCCTACTGCCCATCAATTCTCCATTTTAAACAAGTCAGAAGGGTCACAGAAAGACAGTATGATATATCGTTATACATACTAGCTATATAAATATAACCCCAGAAGCGTGAGTCAAGATTTTGCATGCAGTATTAATTTATACACTTTCCCAACCCCAAGAAAATCCTTCAGCAATATTGTATGCCAAAAGCAATCACCTGAAGCCAAGTAGGCTATGCTTATGGGTCATCTTGTACATCAAGCTTTCAGAATGTTATCCTGTAAGTAGCTTCACAATGAAAGATCAGAGGAGGGTTACTCACTGCATCTTACAACGTCTAACAATTCACCTTAACCACTTCACATTTGCAAGATTAATAAAAGAGGTTCCTGCACAGTATGTCCTTGGGCTGCCCCCACACTTAACTAACCACATAAGCCTGGACACATAGCCATGCATAGCTCAGTCTCAAGTGTGAACGTCACAAACAACTGTAGTCCTCAATACTGTATTGCTGAGAGTAAAATCCTTAGGTAACTTCCACTTAAAGATTACTTCCATTCCACATTCCAGTTTACCCATCTCCACATTCAGAAAAAACAAAACACGTTGCAACTTTCCACTAGTCTTCTAATGAATCACTTTTGGGGGAAGTATCATACCAGATGTTATAGAAGTTTGATTAACTGCAAGCAAGGATTGTACAACTGCACAACTTAACTATCAATATTGTCTGGGTTCTGATGCAGTCCAAGCACTGTTCAGCATAACTAGCTTTGTCTCAAATAAAATAAATGTTGATTATATATGAAACCATTAGAAAAAAACAGAAGTAGCTGGTCTGGCCCTGCAACTATGGAAAACACTTTGATTTCAGCAGTGCTGAAGTGCCACATGTAGCAACGTACAGGTCCTCCTTCTGTCTCCTGTACCTCCCCTCTTCAACTCCACACAGGTAACTCAAGTGTATCTGCAGTTCATCTTTAACATGGATGTGGTGGTATTCTTTTTGCTTCTTCCCGATATATGCAGAATGCTTTTAAGAAATTTCCCTTCATTGCAGACATGAAAAAAAGTGAAGGCACAACTGGTTAGGTTGCAGAAACAGAGACTATTGAGTGGAAAAAAATAGGACAAGACTTCAAAAGCTAAGACAACCAATACACAGAAACAAAAAGAAACAGTTGCAGGGACTATCTGTGTTCACAAGCTATTTTAGAGTAACTGAAGAGGGGCTAGACAACATACCTTATCTGGGCAATACATAGCAAATTCATTTAAGAGAAAACTTTCACCATCTAATTTCACATAAAGTTATGAAGTAAGCCACACTAAAGGAAATATTGTTAAACTTCATCTTTTCCTTTAATCCAGATTACCTACTGAAATTAAGACTTAACTTATAATTAAAGAGTAACATTCACCTCAACGTCAACAAATTTTGATGCAAAGAGCACATTCTCCTCAGAGTTTCTATGAAAAAAGACAAGAATTATAACTACAGATCCTTGCTTTAAGTTTGTCTTCAGTTATGAAAATAAACTGTTTGCCTGTTCCAGTTCTTCAATACTGTCCAGAAATTTAATCATATAAAGGTTCTCACAGCTCTACAGTTAGAGTTATATTGAAAATTATTTCATGAATGAGTAACAGTGGCGCACAATATCCTTTCTGCAGAAGACCTGGTCAAGTCATTCAGATTTAGGACACCTTCCTGTGTTGCAACAGCTGCAGGAATGATATGAAGTGATCTAAGAAACTAGGGGTTCCCTGAAGAGAATCTCAGGCTGCAGAGAAACATGAGATGCTGCTTCTCTGCATCCATTAGAAGGGCTAGGCTGTCCCACCCCTGCACTATGGTCTGGCCTTCCTCCCTTAGCCAGGAATGAACTAACCATGTGTACTCTAACTGGCAGTCTCTTTTCATAGTTGCATAGCAGGGATTTACTTCAAATAACATCAAGTCCTTAGATTAATAACTAGAAAGCTGAGTGGGGCAGTGTACAAGATATTGTCGAATGCCTCCTCTTCTTCCTGGTTCAACTCGAAAGAGTTCCTCTAACTCTGCTACACGCATTCCTGTACCGTCTTATAGTAACTTTCACCCTACTGCTTCAGTAGTAAAAATTACTATTAAAATACTGCTCTTGAAAAAAGAGCATCCTGAATAGCTAGAGGGCCCCCAAATCATTTTGTATTTCAAAAGTTGCCTAACAGGCAGATTTCCAGCCTGGCATTTACAGCCTTCCTCCCTTTCCTTGCCACTAGAGGAGAGGAACACGTAGTATGTCAGGAGCTCACAAAAGCATACATAAACAGGCGCACACAATAATAAAAAAAACCTTTCCGCTTTTAGTTGTCCGGTGTTTCTTTACGCATTCTAAAGCTCAAGAGATGAGAGCTTCCAGCCAGAACCTACTGTCACTTTTGAAGGTAGCCTTATTCAACGGTTCCATGAAGAAACAGTTTGTGCCAGCAGACAAGGTCTTTGACTTTCTCCAAATAGTGCTTGCCTATTACAAGCAAACTGCCATAGCTTCATCAGAATATTGCTTCCACTACACCTGTCCCACTCAGCTTTCTCACAGTTGACAGGCCCTAAGGAGAAAGTGATACATTAGATGCTTTAAGCGAGATACTAAGGCTCTACTGCAGTCAACCACTGAACAACTTTGAAAACTCAGTCAACTTGAAAACCAGCCCCTAGTAACAGCATTCAAGTAACAAAAAAACTTCCTTTTTCCCTGCTTTTTGCAAGAATAGAAACAGACCATCTTAACCATGTCTGAGCAGGAAAACAAAGTTTGCCTTTGAATATGAAGGTGTAGTTACTGCAGATACTCCTCTAATCTCTCTGAACAAGGAGGCTGTCTAAAATATCCCTCCTACCTGACCTAGATGCAACAGAACACAGCAGAAGCCTGCCCCAACTCAGCAGGGATTCAACGCACTGACATTAACACAGTGCACTTCAGTCTGCTTTTGCATTTGTTCTGAAGCAAAAGAGTGACAGTGCTTGCAACCATGAGCTAAACATGAACTTCTGTTGCACAGGGTATGCTTAGAGATTTGTTTACTAAGAGAACACTTTTGATTAAAACTCACAACAACTTGAGCCTACCCTGAACAACACTCTCAAAAGTCAGTTAGGTATCTGAAAGTCATCTAAGTGTTACTTAGGCGAATTCATAAAGGACCTGCCTACCCTCTTACCATACACCCAAGGACAACAGAGTGCCTGTTTTTATCTCTAAGATACTCTTACCCTTAAGAGCACCTCTCCATACCGAACTCCAAGCAGCTAGCAGAGCTCTGCGCATGACAGGATTGGCACTGTAGCAGTAAGCATCTAGTACTTCTATGACACTTGCACTTCCCACATCCCAGATGATAGGTGGACAACTGTTTATTTTAGTTCCCAGCCACATTTACTAACTGTTAGATCACAAGGTACAGTACAGTCTTCAGCACACTTCCTTCCTCAGCCACACAAGTAACTTCTTTCTCCTTTTGTAGGCCCTCACCTAGATTCCCATCTGTTTGCCTCTGCTCCAGAAAGGCTCTCAATTAAAAAGACAGTCAGTTTTACTCTGCAAAACTGGCACAGCACAAAGAGAACTGTCATGGCTCACTTCAGATTTATTTTTGATGAACTGTCCTACAGCAGAGCTTTGGAACAAAATAGCACAATTTTAATTCCACTCAGAAAACTTATCTGGTGCACGTATGTAGTAATAGAAGCAAGACACAGAGTTACAGACACTAAAAAGACTATTGGTTCCCCCTGCCGTATAAAAGTTCTGTTTTTACACCTATAGTCTTTCAACTCTGTTTTGCAGATTATTTTACCCCCAGGCAGACAGGTGCTCTAAGTATGATCCGCTTTGCTGCAAGAGATACATGACATTTATATCGTACAGTACAACTCAAAACTCAGTTATTTAGCTACAGATAATCATAAAGCTTTAAACTGCAGTTGCAAGTTGAACTTGAAGTAGTTCATACCACTACAAGAAGCATCCCTGAAAATACGCAGGTACCAAGGAATAAAACACTGCATCTAATTAGTTAGAAAGGTTATTTGCAAAGTCTTTGCTACGAATAGCCAAGGTAACCTCCACTATTCACTCAGCAAATTTTTAGCTAGAACGATGTCTACAGGATAGACTTTGAACAAGAGTAAAAAAAGATGTGATGAATAAAGAAAGCGAAAACACTTGACTGTAGCAAATTTGTTGTTTGGTTGGGTTTTTTTCTCCCCAAAAGCTGTGGTTTTAACACAGAGGCAAGTCATCCAAAGGACATAATTTGATTAATTTTTTGAGTTTTCCATAGAGGAGAAAAGAGACTCTTTCCAAAGGGAAATACATTTGGGTTTGAATGATTACTATATAAGATAATGTGATTGCTTCTTTGCCTTTTAATTATAATTTATGAAAAAAGAAGAGTGCTTTGTGTCTTCTTTTTTATAACAGTAATTTCAATGTATATTTTACCGCGAAAGAGTACTGAAAAGTCTGTGTCATACACTGTCTACACATTTTGCACTGGGCTAAGATGTAGCTGTTATATGCTGGAAATAGCAAGTTACACTAATCAAAACATCAAATGCACATTTGACCTGAACACACATACGACCTGTGCAATTTTCAAGCTAGGCATCTCTGAAGCAGTCTCTGTCTTGGAACCATACTACCTTACTATCACACCCCACAACAGTATAGAAAAAGACTTTGTTTTGTTTTACCCTGCACAGCACAACCCATCCCTTTAAGACAGAAATGGGAGTAAAAGTGCACTGATCTTTTTTTTTTTTTAAAGGAAACCTTGGTTTATTATGCTCTTTTTGTAATCCGAGGCCAGGACGAGAACACTCGGATTCTGTTTTATTTTCCCCTCAGCAAACTTCGCTTTCCTTCCACCACTTCTTCACCCAACACACACGGGTCTCTCAGGCTTATTAGACGGGTTTGGCGCAGGAAGCGCCAGTCAAATTCTTCCATTTGCTTTGACACGGGTGGTGGTGGTGCGTGTGTGGGGTGGGGTGGGGGGGTCGTTCAGACGAAATGAACATCCCTGTCATCCCCTTTTCCTTTTTATTTTGCGATAAGCAGGGAGGGGAACTCGCTGGCCCCACGACGCTGCCTATGCTCGTCCCGCTCCGTGGCCACCCCGGGCACAAGCACCGGCGGTCGGCGGGCAGCCCGGCCGGCCGCACCCGG